TACAATTATCGCTGAATGTGCAAAGTATCCCAAATTGTTATCGTAATACCGTGAGGGTAAAATACTTATATGGCCATGCTTATATTCAGCGGCTGCATGCATAATTTTTTATGTCTGTAAAATAAAGAAGTATTGAGACGAGACGTTGAAAATGAAAGTGAAACGATATAAGAGTGAATAGTGGTATTGTGAAATGATCGAAAAGCGTTAAGCTTGACCGCGAGTTTTGGATGTGGAATAGACTTGTTTTAGAGCATTTATGAGAACAATACAGACCGTTTTTGTGCTAATATCATTGGTCAGGAAAGTTGAGATTAAAACTGATGTTGTAGTGATTGCTCTTGTTGGAAGAAACAAAATGGAATGCATGGTTGATTGTAAGAATATTTTTTGTTTGTTCGTTGGTGGACAGTATTTGATGTTATGTGCAAGTGAAGTTTTGTTGTGGGGAGTGAATGAAGTGAAGTGATGTGAGGTGGAACACTTTGAAGTGTGCGCAATTTAGGTGGATTGTACAGCCGAGACAAAAACTTGTGGTAAATATGGTGTTAGCGGTTTTCCAACGTTGAAAATCTTCCGAAATGGCGTGTTCGCACAAGACTATGACGGACCACGAGAAGCGGAAGGTATTGTCAAGTACATGCGAGGACAAGCTGGACCCTCAGCAGTGGAATTGAAGAGTTATGAGCAGTTTGAGAAGTTCGTCGATACTGATGAAATGAGTGTCGTTGGTGAGTCGTCTTCAGTGTTTATTTCGTGATTTAGTTTTTTAATTTAATGTTTTTTAGTCATTTGTTTATTGTTCATCAACTTGATGTTCTTTCTGTTTTTTCCATGTGCGTATTAATAATTTCATTTATTGATGTGGATTAATTTAATTGATTCTGATTGAACGCGAATATGAACGTGTCCTGGGATTATTGAGAAATACGTGTTGTGTTATGAGCGAGGTGGCAAGAGGGAGTCTCTTATTGTGATGTTTCAATTTTGTGGGGATGAAGGGAAGGTTTTTTAAAGTTTATGTGAACCTTGGAAGAAGACTCGACTGTGCCTTGGTCATGGTATTTATCAGGAGAAATCAGAGCTCAGAAGAATGGATAGCAATGAGAGTGAAACGTTTTCGACAGAAGATTTGCGTTTGGGTGAATGTAATAACCAGAGTTAAGAATGAGATTTCTAGGTGTTATTCTTTGGATCGAATGAGAAGGTAATTCACGGTATATTGGGGAAAGAATGCACGGTATATTTTAGGTGGAAATTGTTTTGATGTAGGAAAAAGATTTTTGTGATATGATGGAAAATTTGTTTGTAATCATTGTGAGCAATTTTATTTGGAAAAGGGAATCAGTAGTTCTGGATTGTTAGTGTATGATTGATAGTTTAAATGCACGAACCAGCGTGCAGATTAGTGC